ATCGCATGGCACTGTTCACTCTTCGTCCTGTACGGGCTGTGCGCGTATAGATCACGAACTGATTCGTCCTCTCTCTGAGACCTGGGTCACCTGTCGCTCCGGCCACCAACCTGCCCACCTGTCTGAGCAACTATGGCCGGCTGCTGCCTGTCGTTCATCGGCGACACCTCGTTCTCAGCGTTTTGACGGTCTTCTGTGGGCAGCTGTATCAGTGTCTCACATCATGTGTTGGGAGCAGCTGTCTCACTGTCTTTCTGCCTCAACTCAGTAGCTTCTAGAGACAGGTGCCGACCGTTGACGGGTAGTTTACGGTGGACGGTGCTATGTCGGCGGTGGTCTATGGTATAGCGCTGAGCGGTGAGCGGCGGCTCGGACAGTACCTGGGAACGGGCTGACTGACCGCGGCGCCACGCCCGGAACTGACCGACGGACACGGTCCGGGCACTGTCTGTGGGTACACGAGCTGCAGGAGAGAGCCGGGACAGCTGTGAGCCGAGCTGCTGCAGCTGCGAGCCGAGCTTCTGCAGCTGTGGGCAGCAGAGCGAGCCGGAGTGACGCAAATCAAAGGAGAGTGCTGGCATCGAAATGCATTTCACAAGTTTCGTAATGGATGCAATAATGACTTTAATTGGCCTGCTTATGCTTGGGTGCCTCTGATTTTTACCTACATACATTGCTTCATAAGTATACTATCTAGATCCAAAAGTCTTGCATGGTTTACCTGGTTGCCTGTCATCGGTGCTTACGTCGTATTTTCGCCGACCGCGTTTCACCCGGACAATAGCTCGCCTCCATTCCCATCCCACTCAGCTCCAATCCAATCTCCAATGACGGATGTTGCACGGCACATGTTTAATGACGTGCCCCGGGGGCCCGGCTACGGTCTCCGCCGTCACCATTCCCGTGGCTGCCGGACGTACTCCGCCGTAGGCCGTGCCTGGGGAGGTGGTCAGCACACTGACCCACTGCCGTACAGCGAACACAGCGCCCGAAACCACCCCAAAATGGAGTGGAACGGGTCCGGGCCGGCGGCGACACGGCGCCGGAAGTCGCGGCTGAGCTGACGGGGTGGTTGTTAATTATTGTTTGACGGGAGATAGTGGTAAGGAGGGATGGAGAGGGAATGTTGAGGTAACACGTCATATTTCGTGGTTTGGTTCGGCCCGACGAAAATCAAAGTGTGCACTGTGCAAGTTATCACTGCCTCAGTAATTGTATGTGTGCATTGGTCATTTTGAATTATGTTCATGGTACAAAACATCGCCTTTGGTGCATTTTGATTTTACTATAGCTATAGTTATAATAAAACACGATAGGTATATGTATATGTGGAAGGTTGGAGGTGTGCTGATGTCAGGAAAGCTTGTAATTGAATTGATTGCCACATTCTTTAAACGTCTTTATCAAAACAGTCACGGTAGATGTTCGGTATTTCACCATGGAGAACTAATGACGGCCAATTTCTAGTTTCACTCCCATGTTTGGCATAGGCGGCGGAACGGGGAGGGCACCGGGGCACCGTGCCCCCCTTTGATTTTGACATTTTAACATTAGCCCTATGGGCGTTGCATGGAAAGAATGGGACCAAAAGTCGGCAGTGCCCCCCCCCCCCCTTAATTGAAGGTGTTCCGCCGCTACTGATGTTTGGCGCCTTTATGTAGGAGTGTTTCGGTGAAGGCTACATTTCAGTTGGGCTCATTCACCCCAGAGCTGTCTTTTTTATCTGAAGTAAGTTTTTATTTCTTTCTTACTGGGGCTCGGTCATTGGCCATTTGTTGCTCCTGTGATCAAATCGCATTTGTTCGAAGCGCACACCGGCACACCTTTTCCTTTCGGTACACAAGCAGATAAAGATATACTGCGTTTGAGTGGTATAATCTTTGTAAAGTGGTCGCACTTACTAAAGACGCGAACCTTGTCTTCAACATTCAACAAGGAGATTAGCGGCCATTGCAATCATGTGTCGCCCGACTGAGTGGATCTGCAACTGATGCATCATCCTCTCAACGCAGCGATAGCCGTCTCGCAACAAACCCGCGCCTGACCGCGCCGAGGTGTATGATCTCGACTCAAACAGGTGTTCTCACATTTCCACCGGAAACCGACCCGTGTCCGACCCCACTTCCGGTGTGTCACGGGCTGATTCAGGTCTGAGGCACGGAGATGGTGACGTACCGTGCGTCGCAGTTTGTCGAATGGTGATTTCGGTGGAGATGTTCGGAATGAAACAGTGAATTGCAAGTGACTGAGTACCTTCGGGTTTGAGCCCATCTCATGGTCAAACCACGTCTTGTCCTGACATTATCTGCCGAGTCTCGACGAGAGCTGTTCAGGTTCGAGCTCTGAAGTCACCTCGTTCTTCTTGGGTGGCTTCTGAGCTCCATGCCCGGCGCTTCTCAATCGATCTGGCCAGTTCGTTAGCGGCCTTTATCCGAATGCTACTCGATCAAGCCTGCAGCCATTACCCACCGCCATGGGGCGACCCTTTCACACCTCTGCGGTTCAGTAGCCGGCCGTCGAGCCCGGCTGGCTGTCCGCTCCAACAGGCGCGTCGGAGCGCGGAGCCGATCCTCTGAGTGTCGCCCGACCTCCACGGGTCGCTCCCCAGGCACAATAGGGGCGGACACCGGCCCGGGACAGGCCAGGTCGCATCGCTGGCGCTGGACAAAGGAGGCGCCGGCGGCGGCACAAAGCGCGTCACCAAACTACCGGACATCCACACACGTCTACCCACACCACACACACACGTACCTATAGGTGCACGTATACATCGGATAGGTGATTTGCAGGCAACGATTGCCGGTAACTGCAGATGGGCTATACTACTTGGTAAATGGGAGAGTCCGTGGGATTAAACAAGTAGGTGGTAAGGAGTATAGATACCGGGAAAAGTACGGAGGTCACATATATATCGTGATACAGCGTGCATGAAGATCAAGGAATTAGATTTAGTGGGGATGATTCCGCCATTCGTTAATCACATCGCTGGTCATGCAAAAAGAATTGGGCCGTATTTGATACACTCATCACATGGGCAATGGGCATAGTCACTAGTCAGGAAGTAACATAAGACTTGCATACATTTGTGCATGTTTTCATATATCTATCATGTAATGTTCACTCGAAACAGTTAACAAATTAGCTGTGCTTGGTCTAGCTAAATTAGAGGTATTAGAGGTCTTTGTAGAATAGTTCAGAGGATCAAAGCAAATTCTTTACCGGATGCTTATTCACAAAGCATGCATGGCTGAGGTGGATGAACCAGACAAATAGCACAGCTCACGAATTTGCACGGTTCGTGATTGATTTCACCATTTGTGAATAAGTTTACTTTGCACAGAAATACATCCATTCTGTGTAGCTTCTTGCCACCACAGCGAGGGGTGCCGGACTGCGTCACATTTCGTCACGCGCTCCGTCGCTCCTTACATACACACATGCATGCATTTACATCATTCGGCGATCTCTGAAATGTTTCTCGGTCGTTTTCCGAGAAATGAACGTCCCCGTTTGACGCCGGCTATGTCGTCCGAGATTCAGCGAATTTTCCGGATGTCGTCGTGCAGTAATCTCAGAGGGTCTTATGTTGGATAAAATGCTGATGTCATCTCGGGGAGATGTCGCAAAATGACGCCTGGGACGAGCAAGCCATGCTGCGATAAAGGCGATGACTGGTGTCAATGTGTCCTTTTAAGCTATTGTGACGTATTATTTCGGGAGAAGAGCAATGTTGCAAGTTCATTCTCTTTATCCCACCTGCATTAGATTGTTTCTAAGTAGCCTTCAGTTTTGCAGCACGGTGGCAATGCATTCTACTTATTGTCCTCGATTGATTTATTAATAAAATGATGTTTTCATGGTACTAAGCATGCTGCCATGCAAACAATGAAGCAAAACATCACGCTAACACAGCACGTGATTTGAGCTCCAAACCCGTTCTGGCTCAGCTCAGCACCCCACCTCGCCGCCTCATCATCAGGGATTTTACCTCATTCTCCGTTGTCGCCGGTCCAGTTTGCCCGTCTTTGTGCGCTCGGCTGTGTTGCTGAGCCGCTCATGAGCCCTGCCTATCGGGTCGTGACTCAGCTCTGTCGTCACGGCCGGGGGAGGTGTTGTCGAGTATGCCGTGCGGTCGGTCTTCCCGTTACGTGTATACCGAGCAGTGCAGGCTCGCCACTCGACATTGATAGCGGCTGGAACGAGTCAGGGGTTCGAGGACGAGTCAGAGCCTCGTGACGAGCAGTCGAGGCCGCTCCGCAGCTGAGGAGAGGTGGAGGAGCTCGCAGTGACCGCCGTGGGTGGAGGCTGAGAGCTGAGGTGAACGGAGAGCTCGTGATTCGTGATCTGAGAGTGCAGCTTGTGATTTGGCCTTCGTGATTTGGGATGTGGATACATCGTGATCGGTGAACGGAGGAGGTAGCTGAAAAGGGCTCATGACCGGCTCCTGAGAACTCGTAATTCAGTGCATTGTAGCTCGTGAACTCGGCCGTGACTCGTGAGTTTACCCGTGACTCGTGAACTCGGCCGTGACTCGTGAGTTCGCCCGTGACCGTGGCACAACCTTCTGCAAGCTGTGGCATATGGGTGCGCTGTTTGTGGCTTGCGGTTCCATGACTACTCGACAAAATAGTGAACCCACTGTAACATGCACACAAAATGCGTTTATCTCATAGTCTCTTTTTGAAGGCTACGCAATGGCTTTAATGCAATGCTGGTGTTTAAAAGGTTAGGTATTCGCCATGTACTTTTTCGCATTGTGACACAAGGAACACTTTTTTGTAGGTATACGCAAGACATTCGTGTAATAGATTTAGCGCATCTAAAGCTTGGACAGCTTTCATATAAATTATTTTCAGTCAATGTTGATTCGATGTTGCAATTATTTAGTAAGTCCATCAGTCACTTAAATAACGATTTCTCACTGAAGCCCGCGCCAACTTGCGTTTTTCATCCAGCTGTACTCAGTTTCTGACCGTCCCACTCCTCTCTGCGCCCCTCAGATGGACGGCTCGACCGGAGCCGAGCGACGCCGTCCGGGCGTGAACAAGACGCAGAGGCAGCTGAAGACCTCCAGCTCGCCGGTGCTGTCCGGCAGGCGGGGCAGCACGTCCAACTCGGAGTGGGACGTCAGGAGGTGGGTAGGACGCGTCGGACCGCACGGTGGAGGGGCGAGGGTGCGGGAGATGTGACGAAGGGTTTTATTTATCGTGATACAGGGATTTACTCGCACTGGGCGAGGGAATAAACCCATGTCTGGATCCGATACAGAGAGATAAGGAGGGAATACGAATACATTATGATGGGCTAGCCCAGTTGACGACTATATGTTCTGTTAGGTATTGTTCTCGTGTCTTGTTTTGCAATTTCTTGCTATACTATAGGTACAGGTCTCGCGGGTTTTAGCGGTAGGTTTTGCACCTAGAAAATTTAGTGCACTTCAGGCTATATCTTCGTCCCCTTAAGCTTTTAAGTGTTGAAGATGCGATCGACTTGTTGGTTCACAAGGCGGCCACGATCGTGTAAAATGGCTTCATCGTAGATCGATTAGTTTCTGAGATATAACCGGAAATGTAAAAGTGCAAAACCTACCGCTTTATCTCGCGAGAGCCTTGCATAGGCGTCGCTGCTTTTATCGTTTGAGAATCAAACTACAAAGGGCATGTTAATACCTTATCATGCCTACCGTTCAGATGAAAGAACGATAAGCTTCCCAGGATTGTTGTATCTCATTTGTGTCATATTCCCGAAATTTGTCCTTGAGAGTGTCATAAACAGCTGCTATCTGAGGGCAGTATCGACACATGACAAGGCTCCCGGATTGCCTCGAGATACCGTATCTATCTCACGCACATGGGCCCGGCCAGACAACAGTGTTCTTGGACTCCAGAGGAAATTGGCGGCTAACAGTGCTCCGGACGTAAGGTCTAATCATCTAATGCCTCTTGCGGCATTGCTGTTTTGTACAATGCTTCAAGATAGTTTTATCGATGTCCCGATGAGAGCTAGTTGGAAAATGTTAGATAAAGCACTTTCGTGATTATGTTCTTTTGGAACAAATGAAAGCTGCTAATTGTCGCTTGTTTTGTCATTCTAAATAGTTTCAGTTTGTTACATAAAAAATATGCGGCAAAGTAACAAAGTAACGTATCTGTTTACCGTGGGGCTGTTTTATCTGCTGTTTTATCACATGCCGTATTTGTTTTGAGGCCTCGGTCCATTCTCTAATCTGTCAGCTACCGTGCTGGGCCTTGGAAAGGTGGCGACATCAATAGTCGGAACGTTTGACAAATCGAATCATTAATATTAATGTAATGAGGCACGCACGAATTCGACTTCTAAATTCAAATCTACAAGTCATCGTCAATCGAGTTACTTGCCAGGAAAGGAAGATTGGCCATGATGGGTAGGTACATACATACTTCCTCGGATGGACGGCTATCGAATTGGAATTTGCCCGGTGTTAGATTTTAAATGGCAGATTTGGTACTGCTTTTGGGGATCATCTCAGTCGAATTATGTTCATGTATGACGTAAACCCGTTGACAGTAAATCGCACATTTTTGCTGTCGTTAGTATTTAACAACCCAGTTTTAGCGAACCATTACCAAAGTTGAAGCAAGTTGAGATGTTTTGAATCTCGCTAGCCCCGTGCGCTTATCGCCGATCGCTTACGAACCGTGAGCCCAATAAGGTGCGGGATGCGGCTGCAATCACGCCCGCCACCCGATCGACAGCACCCGGGCTCTGATATCGATCCGTGCAGCGGATACCCGATCACGACTCGCACCGTTTCCCCGGTGGTATTCGGTGTCGGTGTCCGGCGCAGAGGCGCGGCCTTGGTCGGCACGGCGAACCGCCAACCGTTGGACGCCGAGCCGTTCAAACGCGAACGGCACCGAGCGTGACGCCCGACAACGGTCAGAGTCGGTGGAGGCCCGATCGACCTTCCCTGCGGCGGCCTGATCGGCAAATATTGATTGGCCTCATCTCATCTCCCAGTTTGGAAAGGAAACGTTTAGAACAGTTGTTGGCGGTTAGTGTGGTCAGGCTACTAAAAGCTGCATAGGCGGCGGAACGATTTGAGACAAGGGGGGGCACCATGGCTCAAGGAGCCAAACCTAGGGTACCCCCAAATCCTGTTTTCTCATCGGATTTAGGCCACTTATTTTTCGTCACAGCCCTGACACGATGATTTTTTTTTTTTACTAAACGAAAATTGCAGTTCACCCCCGTATGCAGGGGTGTACCTAATTTTATATCTCTTTGTGGGGGCATATGCACCCACAATCCTGAATTATGCCCCCACAATGATGAAAAAGCACCCACAAGTCTTTTACAAGGCTGCAAGCGTCCTTTCGAGAGCACGGTGCCCTTCGCATGCTCTAACGGCGTCCTCCTAACCGTCTCGCGTTCATGTACCGGGGTTACATGAGCAAGTAAATGCGTATCAGGAACGGATTTTCCTATTCGCTCACCATTGTAGTCCGTTTGTAATGCGTATTAACTCTGCTCATGTAACCCCGAGCATGGATAGCGTTTTTAATCATCACTCGGCGCCCTTCTGGGAGAATGGCGCACTTTTGACAGCACCGCGCCATTCTCATGGTCTAACGGCGCCCTCCTGACCGTCTCGCGTCCTTAGGTCTCTGTTCACCGTGCATCCCTCGACTATTCGGCGCCCTTCTGGCCTCTCAGCGCCCCTGAACCACATATAGCGTTTTCAATCACTCGGCACCCTTTTACGAGAATGGCGCCCTTTTCATGATCTCAAGGCGCCCTCGTAACCATCTGGCGCCCCCACGTCCCCACCAACGTAGCACTACTGACTGTGCGGCGCCCTTCTGGCCTCTTAGCGCCCCTAGACCACATAGCGTTTTCAATCACTCGGCGCCCTCCTAAGAGAATGGCGCCCTTTTCATCGTCTCACGGCGCCCTCGTAAGTCGTAACCGTCTGGCGCCTCCACATTTGGTGCCCCTCCTACTGGATGGCGCCTCTCTACATATTTTTTACGTCCTTCCGGTCAGTTTCCACTTTTAAGCGTGTATTTGCTTAGTCAGACACGTCACTTGAAGCGCCATTCGGCTAGCAATGTTATCAAATTCGGTGTTAATTTAGGCTCCCACATAAAGAATATCTATCGCGCCCCAAAACGGCCTGGCGCCGGGCGCCCCTACAGCTGGGCACCCACAATCATTTTAGGAAAATTACACCCCTGCCCGTATGTGTGGTTAACTTTAAGCTGATCCTCAAGTACCTATGTGTTTGTCTCTTCCTTATTGTCGTTTGATAAATTCCATTTATCCTACATGTATAATTCCCAAGAAGCCATCGCAGTACTAATCAGTGGCGAATCCCAGGGTGGAGGTCACATGTGTCATGACTTAGGGCCTGGGGTCACCACATGCCTGCCAGGAGCACCACAGGCCTGACAGCCGACAGGGGCACCACAGGCCCGCCAGGGGTGCCAAAGGCCTAGCAGGGGCACCACGGGCCTGTCAGTGGCACCACAGGCCTGTCAGGAGCACCATCGGCCTAGCAAAAGCACTACAGGTCTTCCAGGGGCACCACAGACCTGCCAGGGGCACCAGAGGCCTGTCAGGGACACTATCGGCTTCGCAGGGGAACCACCGGCTTCTCAAGGGCACCATGGGCCTGTCAAGGGCACCACAAGCCTGTCGTTGGCAATTTAGGATTGTCAGAGGCACCACAAACCTGTCAAGGGCACCTACGTTCTAACAGGGGCACCACAAACCTGCCAAGGCCCAGGGACACCACATGCCTAGCAAGGACACCACAGGCCTGTCAGGGGCACCACGGGCCTGTCAGGGCCCATGGGCACCTAAGTCATGTCAGGGCCCACCGTAGGCTTGTCAGGGGGCAGGGTAGGTAGGTACCACAGTCTTTCCAGGGGCACCAGCGGCTTAGCAGGGGCACCAGTCATCACATGACTAACCAAAAATAAAGCAAAAAAAACTGAAAATAGGGCACCACCAAAATTAAGTGGGCGAAATCCGTTGAGGTTTTAATTTTGGGCATAGGTACTAGGTAGGGGCACCACTTCGATTCATGAACCTCCCCTTTCCCGAATTTCCCGAGTTTTCCCGAATCCGCCCCTGGTACTAATACATCAAATTTAAGGGGGGGGCACCTTGCTATTGGTGCCCCCCTTGCAGAATCCAAGGGGGGGCACGGTGCCCCGGTGCCCCCCCCGTTCCGCCGCCTATGAAAAGCTGTGGATGTAATTGCCATCTAGCGTACTGCCTTGATAATTGGTGTCATTTTGCGGTGCTCAAGTGCAGGCAAATTGTAGCAAACAAAAGATAGGACCTCAAAATTTCACAATATCTGCTTTTTAGGGATATTAAGAAATCAAGAGTGGGGGAAAGGCATACAAGCAAAGGCTAAAAAATAATAGAATCTGGCCACCGCTTCCATATCCATAAAAGCGGCAGTTATGAGTGGACGTAGACGAGTGTGGTCAACGGCAAACTGGACGCTGACCTTGAGAGAGAAGCTGGGCGTGTTTCAGTTTATGGTAGTTTCGGTTGTTTTATCAGGCTTATCACTACATGGAGGTTCTGACTTATTTGTTTTACATAATGTGACTGAGTTCTGGAGCTGGTAGAGTGGAGAGGGGAGATGTAGTGCGGTGTATTCCATTTGTTTCCCTGGAAGAGGATTGTGATCAGTCGACACATTTCAACCTTCCACAGCCTCAGACTGACTATATTTGAATTTTTGCCTGAGGCATAAGTCTTTTGATCATTTGAATTGCTTTGTGTCAGTCATGTATTTAATCAGTGTAAGATTGCATTGATCGCTATGGCAGAAGATTCTGAAATGAACACACCATGCGAATCTGGGTAGGTTTACGAACAATCTACCTAGGCTATCTACCAGCATAATATGTCAATGTTCCCTGACCAGGAATTCCAATTTTTCAGATTTACTAGCATTACCTATCTTTTGTAATATCAATTTGGTCATAAAACTAAGACCAGCTAACTGATAAAAAAAAAATGGTCATTGGTGGGTAAATGTCAAGTTTACGTCCTAAGCACATTTCAATGATATTTCTTTCATAATCTTACATATTTTGACATGCTGAATCCAAAAATCATACTTACATGTCTCGCAAGAACAAAATTATCACCAATACACTAAGCAATTACACCTTCCCACAACACACGATCAAAACAAATCGAGAGGAAATTGAAAGCAGGGGCGTAGGCAGGGGGGGGGCCACTGGGCCATGGCCCCCCCCCTTGGGCGCCGAAGGCGCCCTTTGCGATTGGAGGGCGCCGAAGGCGCCCTCCAATCGCAAATGCAATTGTGATATAATCGAATCGAAAAACAATCGCGACTGGAGGGCGCCCTCCAATCGCGAATGTGTTTACAGGGAAAATACGGATGGAGGGCGCCCTCGGAGGACGCCCATTCCAAATACGCCCTCCAAATACGGTTGGAGGGCTCCCTCGGGCGCCCTCCAAACACATTTGTAGGCTGTAGCTCTCTAAGCGTAACGGTGGTCGCCTATGTAAGCCGCTGTCCTGTAAATAAGCGCCCTCTCACCCGAAGGCGCCCTCCTGTAGGTCGCCACCCTGCTACACATTGCCGCCCTTCTGCTGATCGGCGTCCTCATAATTATTGGCGCTCTTCTACCTATTGCGCCCTCATGTGAAATTTTGAAGGCCGCCTTTCTCCCTTTTGGCACCCTCTTGTTCAGTGCCGCCCTCCTACCTATTGGTTCCCTAGTCCTTCCTGTTGAATGCTAATCGGGGCCCTTCTCCTATTGGCGCCCTCGTGTTGATCGCCGCCCTCCTAACCACTGGCACCCTCCTGTTGATCACCGCCCTCCTATCTACTGGCACCTTCCTGTTGACCAGCGCCCTCCGCACAGACGCCGTCCTGTTCGTGTCATCCTCTTGAGCAAAGGCGCCCTCCTCACCATTGCCACCCCCATTTTAATCGTCACCCTTCCGCTCATTGGCGACTTGCAGTTGATGACCGCCCTCCCACCTATTGGCGACCTCTTGTTGATCGCCACCCTCCTATTGGTGCTCTCCTGTTCCTCGCCACCCTCTTACCTGGTGGCGCCCTCCTGTTGATTGTTGATCGGGGCCCTCCTACCTATTGGTGCCCTCCTGTTGATCGCTGCCCTTCTATCCATTGGCGCCCTCCTGCTGCTCGCCAACTTCCTACCTATCGGTGCCCTACTGTCGAAACTCGGGATGTTGATCGGGGCTCTTCTACCTATTAGCGCCCTCCTGTGGATCGCAGCCCTTCTACCTATTGGCAACATCCGTTGATCGCTGCCCTCCTATCATTTATTTACTCCTTTGGCATGTTCTTCAACTTAGTCGTTCTATTGCACATAGTTGATGTCTTGCCTGTGAAAACTGCCACAAATGAACGTGCATTCAGCACAATGAATGAAGTACCTATACCTACCAAAACTATCTACGCTCTACGATGCATAAAACACGTCTTTGGTCTTAACGGATTGATCCTACTTTACGTGCATCATGGCATCTATATGTATTACGATTAAGTATTGTCAACAGGTTCGGCCGCAACAGCAGGCATCTGAAGTTTCGGTGATTGAAACTGGTTATGTGGGTACACTGTATGCACCTGTGAGAAGGCTATGAAGGCTGGTCTGAGGTAATTTGGATGATGTTTACGCATCTCGCGCTCCGGTATCAATCCGATACGGTGATCTGGTGCGTAGATATGCCACCGCCAATAAACTTTTATACATCGACACCCATGAGCCAAGCTTTCTATACAGTTTGTGTGGCAGCGGCCCGACCAAACCTTAGGTATTTTTTATACCTTCAAATTTGGTAAAAGAGCGAGAGGAGCTTTGAACACTGATCGTATAAAAGGCGTGCCTAAAAAGCGGAGGAAAAGGTTGTTTTCAAAAATTTCGCGCGCCTTCGGCGCAGCATTTCAAGACCACTTGACCTTTTGTGACCTGGAGTATAAAGAATACACACGATGCAAAATCAATGCAGCACGACCTATACGAGGTTACGCAAAAAAAAAAACTGGTGGCATGGTAAAAAACGCCTCCCAACCCCCCCCCCCCGTTGAGTGATTTTTTATCTCGCGACCGTATGGCGCCCTCCTTGGGTGAGGTGGCGCCCTCCAAACCCTTGGCCCCCCCCTTCGCGATTTTCTAAATACGCCGCTGATTGAAAGTGTCCAGCGTTGCCATTTGTGAAAAAATATTTTGTCTTTTTTTTAATGTCGAGAAATAAAAACATTCAATATATTATAAAAATAGATAGGAAATATGTAAAAAATATTTATTTAAAAAGAAATATTATTATTAGAAATAGAATAGCAAAACAACAAAGGGGAAATGTTGGGAACCGGGGTTATTGGGTGGGGAGGGTTAGAAAAACAGGGAAATGTTGGGGATCGGGGTTCATGGGTGGGGGAGAGAAAAAATGAAAATGACGTCATAGGGAAATGTCGGGAACCGGGGTTTGTGGGGAGGGGATGGAGAAAAATACGATAAGAATGGTTACAATATTTGGGAAATTTTAGGAATCGGGGTTCTTGCCTCAAATCTAATTGTTACCTAACCTAACCTTACCTGACTTGACCTAACCTAACCTAACCTAACCTAACCTAACCTAACCTAACCTAACCTAACCTAACCTAACCTAACCTAACCTAACCTACTGATTTTTGCCTACCGGGGATAAGGAAAAAGTTGCTTGCAGGAATAGATTGCAGGCAAGAGTAAATCAAATATTTTTAGGTTAAGTGGTCATGCATCAGGCTTCAGGCCTTCGGCCTGAAGCCAGATACATAACCACTTAACCTAAAAATATTTGATTTACTCTTGCCTGTAATCTCTCCTAAGGCATTGCCTTCGGCACTGCGCTGCTTCGCCGCGAGAAATATTATGACGTCATTATTCACAGTTGAATAGCAACTGTTAGATATCATTCTTGATTTTGGCCAACTTTGCACAAGTAATCGCCCCCCAGTTCTCAGGATTTTCCTTTCCTCCCCCCCCCCCCCAGCCAATAACCCCGGTTCCCAACATTTCCCCTTTGTTGTTTTGCTATTCTATTTCTAATAATAATATTTCTTTTTAAATAAATATTTTTTACATATTTCCTATTTATTTTTATAATATATTGAATGTTTTTATTTCTCGACATTAAAAAAGGACAAAATATTTTTCACAAATGGCAAGGCTGGACACTTTCAATTTCCTCTCGATTTGTTTTGATCGTGTGTTGTGGGAAGGTGTAATTGCTTAGTGTATTGGTGATAATTTTGTTCTTGCGAGACATGTAAGTATGATTTTTGGATTCAGCACGTCAAAATACGTAGGAATGTGAAACAATTATCATTGATATGTGCTTAGGACGTAAACTTGACATATACCCATTGGTGGGTCAGGGTTGCATTACAAAGAATTGGTGTTGTGGCCACTTTCAACTCAAACTACCCATCCTAAGTTTTTCATGCTCATGCATAAGAAGGTGTGTCTGCACATCACCATTAGGGGGATTTGAATTCCAAGCTTATTCCCTGCTTCTTGAAAGGTTTTGCATTTCTTTGGTGATATACCTAATGTCTGATTGACTGTTCACAGGACCTGGTCCCTGTACGGAGACCAGGACGCTGACATGCTGTCAGCCAACTCTGAGGCCTCTGTGTCACCGCTGCCACCTGATGAGGAGATGGTGACGGGACCCAGGTCTCTGCAGACCAATCCAGGTGCACCATCCCCCACCCCCAGCTCAGGTGAGAGTCAAGTGGTTACTGGTCAGCCCGTGCGACTGTTCAGCATGGCATAAGGAGTGAGATTTCTTTTCTAGTATTAGTAGACTGATATTCATGATTCACTCATTGAATTTGTCCTGATGAAGTTTTGATCAGGATATATTTTCTTTCAGGTTGTGCTTGCTGTGTTGTACCATTGTTCAGCTCATACATAGATAACAGTAGAACTACTACAGTAGTTCCACTGTTATCTATGGCTCATACTATGGTAACAAATTGGTGAAGTTGATTTATATTAGCTACGGGTCAAGGTCAGCCTTCTATTGTTTATCAGGTGAATTACCACCTATGGCATTCTTGCAACTAAGTATTCTGCATGATTATTCAGTAGATTGTACTCAGTCCTCACCTTACAAGCACTTCCCACTTTCTCTGCAGAGAGCGTCTTGCAGAAATTCCGTAAAAGCTTCAGTTTACGGTTCTACAAGCGGGGCGTGGCGAGCGCGGATCCTGCGGCGCCTTCCCGCGGCCGGCCGCCGGCCGCCGGTCGTCCCGACGAGGACGACGATGAGGACGACTGTGACGACTGCGAGGACTGTGACGAGGACGACGGAGGTCCTCGCGCCGGCGGAGCACAGGGAAGGCGTGCCGACAGGTCCGTGGAGAGAGCGGACTGCGCGGCCGGAGAGGATGACCCCATGGACGGCGGACTGAGGTGAGCGTGGGACGGTGGGTGGGATGACGTGTAATTGTTCCATTGGTGCTGCAGTTGTGTAATTTATCACCCTCAGAGACGTCTTAGGCATTTATGGTAGGCCACCCTGCATAGCTCTTGGACAAGGCTTGTTCCGTACAAAATTAACTGCTCATTGAGGCCTCAGGAAATTTCTCAGTGGTAAGGGAGTAGGCCAAACTGAAATTTCGATTTTAGACGTCAAAAGACCGACCTTGTCAACGCCAACGCATGAACGCATCATCCATGTTTGGCAGCGTTCACTTGAAATGGCTGCCTTTCGTCATCCAAACACGGGAAGTGTCTCCTTTACTGCCTCAGTCAATGGCGCTCATATCGGGGACGATTGTCGTTTTTGTTGACACCGGCACGCACTCCGACCACAGTTCGAGTCTGTCCTTGAGCGGCCGGTACCATTGTCTGTGTGAGCACACGGTGAGAGGCACCGCCCGCCGCTTATGGCTCTCTGTGTGTGATCGCGTCGGACTGGCGTGCCGGATATTGTCTCCCTCCCTGGACGGCGGGACGATCAGATGACCCGGCGTCGTGACTGGAACGGCCGGCTGTCTGCCGGGTGGCGGGGGGGGGGGGGGGAGGGGGTGATTGTTCTGGGCCGTGAATGTGGGCCAAAGTGCTGAGGGTGTCACGGAATGGACGAGTGATGACAGTTATGGCCTCTGATAGCTGCTCTCTGGGTATCTGAGGACTTACTGCCGAATGTCTAATAATTTCTGGCATTCTTCACTCGTTGGATGTAGTTGCAATGGACTTTTAAATGTCTAGCTTAGCAGTTTGTTGTGAAGTGATCATGATCAATAATCTTGGTAATAGATAGTATGCATTGGGATAAAATGACGGTGGATTATTGGCCATAAAGATTATGATCCTATTTACATCGCCGCAGCGTCAATATAAGTTTGTACTCCACTGCAGCCCGACCAACCTATTGACCTAACCCGCCCGCCCCTCTGCCCACAGATTGCCCCGCGCGTGGCGCTCCAGCAAGGAGCGGCGCCGGCGGCTCAAGAAGGAGGCACGCAGCGCCAAGTGTTCGAGCGCTGACAGCGGCGACAGCGGAATTCAACTGGAGACGGCGGCGGCGGCCGGGATGGCCGACAGTCCCGGCGTGCGGCGGAGGCTGCGCAGCACCACAGACGCAGAGGATGCATCGTCAGAGCCCCGCAGGGAGAAGAGACCCCTTTCGGATATATCAGGCAGCTCCATCATTGAGGAAATCAAGGTGGGTGATCTGGTGAGGAGGCGCGGAGCTGTGGCACTGTGGTCAGAATGAGGGAAGGGGATGCTACTCGATCGTAGTTTTGGTGTTGATGTCCTGAAGATTTGAACCGAATCGATCGTGCTGCTCTTAATTCTGTAAGACCAGGAGAATTTGTACCACATCTCCAGGGAAAGTAGGAGATAGCTAGGGCAGATATCGGAATTTGTCTTTAGTTCCAACCCGACAACCAGTGAGGTTATCCGCCAGATCTTCCTCTCTGGAAGGCCGGGTCGGGTCGTTACCCGTTTAACGCCACAACTTCAAAGATGCGACGAGCTACAGCTTTAAAACCTTTCCTCTAAAAGCATTTAACGAGCCTCTTAACGGACATTTCACACCACTCCAACTCTCCGCCCCGTATCACGAAGACAGGAGAAATTTACGGCTACTTGTTTATGACCAGGATGAGTATGGACTGAAACAAGTCGTCCCGTGTCATGTCGAACGTCTTTCTCCGTGATGCATTTCCCTCTTCTGACGAAAACCTGAGTCCCAGATCGCCAGATAGTTTGTAGGGAGGCATAGTTAGTTTGCGCGTGGGCGTTGACGGATTGGTGTACGCTGTCAGACTGTGTCCGTCTGGGAGGTCCTTAGGGAGGTAAAGGGCCTGTGGGCGGCACGGAGGGCGACATCGGGGTTTCGGCGTGCTTTGATACTCTCCGTTGGTCCTCGGCTGTCGATCCTAGTAGGGTCTGGAAATAGCGTTCCGCTTTATCATTGTTCGACTTTAACTTGAGCACGGTCAATTTTCGTGAACGAGAATCAAGTTTTCCATCGCCAGCAAACCTGCAGCCACTTGAACTTAAACTAGCTCCTCGGCTCCAGGAAGGATTCCGCCGATCCCGGATGCACCCATTGTTTGCGGCTGCCCGGCTGCATTCCTCCGTGCCCGCGGTGTAACGGACGGTACTCTGATACCACGCTGGCGGGGCTACCTACCGGGCCACGACCGCTGATAAAACCCCGGCCGGCCGCTGGCGGCCCGTCACGGCGCACCTGTGCGTGACTGATAGCGGCCGGAGGCTCCGATAGTGACGCCCGGTGACGCCGGGTGACCCGCGGTCATCGTTCGGGCACCGGCCCGGCGCTGAACAATGACCCGGAGACCGGAACGGAACGGTCAACGGTGTGGGTGGTGGACCTCAGCGTTACTTGGACGACAGCGACGGGGCTGGATACTGGAGATGGGCTGAAGTTAGTTGTATGTGGTTTCGACCAGTGTTAGTTAACCTTTTTGGAACTTGGCGATCCGTTGTTGTTCCGCTTTTTTCTTGTTGTTGAATCTATTTCGGAAGAGCGACGCTTTTGTGATAGCAATATACCCAACGATATAATCAACTTCCGCGTAACATATTTCCCACGGGCATTGCGTGTCCGCCCCATTTCTCCGTCGTGTTGTTCACACTGTAGTACCGACGACAGACGCTCCCTCATTCAGCTGGAGCGGTCATCCATCCATCCATCGTTGTGTCGCCACCCGGTTGTTGTTGTGCCCCCAGGTCTAAAACCACTCTATCCTCACCAACTCCCGTGCCGCTGGGCCCTTCATAGCCCGGGGCGGTGACGGTGGACCAAGTCCTCCCCCTCTCTTGCGATTTTTGCCGCGAATCTGCGCCTGTCACCAGGATTTTTCGACAAGTCGCACGGAGCCTGGGCGAAAGTTACGCTCGTTGCTCATTAGTGTATCTGCCGCTGCGTAACGAACAGACGTGTGTGGGAGGCGGCCGGTGTGCCTTCCCACCCCGCTTCCTCCGCCAGTCCACTTACACGGGTGCACGGCGGCGACGGGCGCATGGCGCCGGCGAAAGGGATTCATTATGCGATGACGCATGCTTGTGCCTTTTGACGTGGGTATGGTTTACCTGGCTCTAATGACGTGCTAGTCGGTGATAGTGTCCCTAAATTACGATTACATTATTTGACACGTGTTGCCTTACAGTTCCCATCGCGCTTATGAGCAATGTGGTTACATGGGTTTGTTTTGAATCGTGACTAATTTGCGAGACATCGCGATCGCTTCATGTCGTGACGAAAGCACTGCGGCGGTTGTGACGTCAGACAACAGAGCACACGTCATAATGACGCCACCGCGTGGGACGGACGGACATGTTTGTTACGGGATCCCGGTCCAGCCCGGGCGATGATGCTGTCCTGATAGCTTCGTGAAGTCACTTTTTAGCAATCTGTCTCAGAAGTCACATTTGCGACTATGTAGACCAATGACGGTACTTGTGAGCTATATGAAGCTGCATTTGTGAAGGCGCCGTTATCCAGGCCTGGCCTCACGCCTTCCCACGCCCACTTAGGGTCGCCGGTGATGGTTTTATGCAGGCGCGCTATCGGCGGAACAAACGAATTCCGCCCTTATTGGATGGTGGGCGGAGATAGCGCACTTATCACCTCTCATTGGCATACCATGGCGCGGAGATTGCTGGCAAAGCTACGCAGTTTTAAATAGAAAACCTGACAGCGTATGAAAATTATACTCATCGGTGGATACAATTGTCTTGGATTAAAGCAAATCTGAAAGTAAAAGCCGAGTTCCGTGTGGTACTGGAGTGCCTTGACCTTCTGACCTTAGCTAGCTCAGAATTTTAGTAATTAATCGACCCTTGCCACGCCGACGCTTGCTCATTTTCCTTGGCGAGTTCATTGAAAACGAAGAATCGACGGGGCGGTTGTTTTCCTTCTGTCGTTCACGCCAGTCGCCAGCCGTCCCAACTGTCGCTCCAGGACAATTAATCAACATTTGAATTGCGTTTATGTTTTAAAAGAGCGCGTTTTTACAGCAAACGCCTGCCTCGGAGGACCAAACAGTACCACTCTAATGCCGCCGACATGGCCTTGTGGGCTGACTGCGGCCTGAATCACACGATTTCCTCAATGGGAGTGGGTATAGCTGACTGCTGGGGTGGGAACTGTGCCTTCTGCGTCCAATCTATCGTATGACTGGCCTCTCTCATTAGGCCTTAGATCTACAAATGTACACACAAAAAAAAAAACACATCACGTATTAGGCGCATCTATTTCGACTAGATCCCGTCCAAACCAAAGCAAACCGAAGTCACTCCCAGATCCCTATCCTACTCGAGCTAACTATGTTTTCCCATATCCAGATACGTCAGATACAATCCAGATCCATACCAGACCACACACAGGCCGTCGCCGCCGCTGCTCGGTGGCATGACGTCACGGCTGCTATCGGCACGTCCGTCCGTCCGTCCGTTTGTGCGGTGGACAGTAGCCCGGCTTGGCTTGATTTGGCCTTCGAGGACGGCCCTGGCTGCACGAGGAAGGCACTGTGACAGCCGACAGTAGCGCGCCTGCAGTGGGGCAGTGGCGGGCGGCGGTGGAGTGGCTGTGAGGCGGTGTTAGGCTGCAGTGGAGAATTAGTAGTGTTGGTGAGTAGCGAGAGCTGAGCAGCCTGTGTGTGGCGGCAGCTAACAGACGGACCGCGGACGGTTGGGTGGTCTGATCTAGAGGTGGCAAAATGTGGACCCGGGGACCCGGTCCAAAGAACCAGTCTGGACCCATATGGGTCCAGACCGGTTCCTGGAAATTTTCTGACGGGTCCAACCGGGTCCTACCATGAACTATACATCTTGCACACTACACATTATTGCAAAATATGAAGTGAATGAAGTGAATGTTTCTTGGCACACAGCAGCTCTTGAGAATTCCCAGTGAGAAATAGGCTGTTTTAAATGATGCAACTAATGATACCTACAAGTAGTTTGAATTAATTGACTTTTGGGGAACGGGTCCAACTGGTTCCGGTTCCAACTAAGACCGGGTCCGACTGGTTTCAGAAATGTCCAGCCGGGTCTGGTTCGAGTCTGGTTCCCAAAATTTTCATCTTTTGCCGCCTCTAGTCTGATCCAGTGACCAGGCACGACGGAGCGTGGCGTACCGTGTGTGGCCACCTCTCGTCGATCGCCGGATACGATACTAGGGGAAACCGTCCTCTGGCGCAACGGAGGAGAGCAGAGCCCAACTGTCAGGTAGGCGCACCGGGACGGGGCCCGGACCAGCAGGAATGTCCCGGCGATTGGGAGCGAGCCGGCGGCTGTGACGAAATGTGAGCGGAGAGAGACGGTGTCGAGACAGATCAAATGAGCCGTAGCGACCAGCTGACTTCTATCTCCGTCTGTACGCTTCAGTGATTCGACTGGAACGAGAGGGAAAGTGGTGGCAGCGTTTAGCTTTCTGTAGATTCTTCCGCCTGGTGTCTGAGCTGGTGGCTTCTAAGCTCATTTGATTTGCTGGTGTCATGCTTACCACTGCAATCTTAGTAGGCTCTATCCTAGTGATATGCTCGCCTCTTTCATTGTCTGATATTCTACAGCCATGGTGCTAGCAGGCTTGAATCGCCCCCTGTTCCATAAGATTCATGAACCTCGGCCAGCGCTGGACGGTGCCGTGGCTGCACGTGCAACAAAAGGAAGACTACAAGGAAAGTTCCTGATCTCATTGCCGCCGTTCGATTCACTGGGCGTGTATGTATAACGGCATTTTCCGTGGTGCCGTGCAGAGGTGCGACCTTTCCTGGTTGGTAACAGGGGGTGTCACTTACTGCAGAATGTCACTGACTCGTATCGCGTCTACCGTGAGTGTCTAATGCGGGTAGCTCATTTATCTACCAGTCACTGGCCTTTGCATTCGGCGTGCTATGGGGTCCTGGCGTTTTTCACCGTACGTATTGCAAGTCGCTCACTATCAAATAAAACGCGATGTCTGCAGCTCGCGTAACTAGATGATCAGATCAGACGATATCTTCTCTAGCATCAGAAGCTGTCAGTTGTCACATATGGTTCCAGCTCTGTCAAAGATGGTTATTTTTTACATGCACCCAATCAGAAACGTAGTCCAGTGATCGCGACCTCCTGAATTTCACCTCTGTACTCCCGTCTACCGTGTCGCCACGGTCGCCAATCGCCATTGCACCCCCACCTTCCGTCATGTGGTTGCGACTGAACACGTCATTCCCCACCACGTGCAATCGACTGAGTGATGCACATCCTGCCAATGGCGGAACGGGAGGGACCGACTTCCACTCAGACCTTCCTTCCTTGTGGAGCCTTCCTGCCGTCCATGTTCCCCAATCCACCACACGGGTATCTGCGGTTTGAGCCATGTTGTCAAAATTAATTTCAGTTTGCTGCTGATGTTCTGGTTGTTTTGTCGTTGGGATTACATGAGTCATTCGCACATGACTCGCAGGCCAGCAATGTTGCAGCCAGTAGTCGGCATTCTGCGTATTAGCTATGCCGCGCAAACAGCCTTCGTCATATCCGCTCAGATGTTTGTGAGGTCCGTGGGAAGGAAATTCCACCAGTCAGGTGTCAACGCGGTGCCGGTGTAGTGGTTTACACCTATTCATCTCTTGCTCTTGCTGAGCAGGTTACCATTCTTCCTTCAGTGTTTGTGCGTGTTGTCATGGGGCCTCATGTGGTTCCGTGGTCGGAGCTCATGATCACGCCTCTTTGTGAGCTGACTTGACTTTACCTCACATCGAATCTGTCTGGGCTGACCTGACCTCTCCCTCTATGTGACCACTCTAGACCTCCCCTCGCGCCCTGTCTGCCCTGCCCTGACCTTCCCCTCCCTGCCCCTTCCACAGGCCGGTCTGCAGAGCGAGGTGAAGCGTCGCAGTAAGCTGGTGCGTCGCACCCACTCGGACTTGGGCTCGGACCTGGTGCGCGGCTACAGTCGTCAGATGTCCCAGCCGGCGCCGATCACAGAGCACCCGGCCTCGGCGGCGGACGGCCGGCGGCCCCACCACCACCACCGGCTCAGAAAGAGGTGAGCACGGTGGGGGTGGGGGAGGACAGGGGGAGGTGGTGGAGAGGGGAGGTGGAGAATGACAGAACGTGGTGAGGGAGGGAGGCGGGGAACGACAGAAGGTGGGGAGAGAAAGAGGAAGCAGGCAGAAAACAGCAAAGGAATGTGGCGATGGAAGAAGACAATATTTTAAGTCGCTCCGCTAAGATACAAAAATTAAACAACCAGTGTGCAAATATGAGCACACCTACACCAGCTCATATTCCGTCACCTCTTCGGTTACGATTTGCAGTCTCTCACGTGCAGTCCTTTAGTGCACACGTGTTCCAGTGTCACACGTGACACACGTGTTCTCGCTAATCGTTCCACTGTTGGTGACACTTGAAGCCCACCACGTGTCTGGTTAGCTGTAAGAAATGGTAGCTATCTGAGCCGCTGCATATAGTAATTAACCACTGCTCTCTGAGTTGCTGAGTTGCTGAGGGTTGCTGAGATGAAATCAGACCCATCTCCGTGTACGTAGTGTGCGGAGTCTGTTGATAGGGTTGTGTGCGCGGCGTGCGTGGGTGACATTCCATCCTACGTTGCAGGATTTATTGATAGAGTGGGAGGGTTGCTGATTACGGAGCGAGCGAAGCGAGCGTAGTCTTACGCAGAATAACGGAAATTTCTGAGTATGAGCGGCCGGCCGTGGTCACGATTCTGCGACGCTTATATCTCAGCAACTACTTGACCGATTTACATGCGGTAATTTTTGTAGGGTAGCTTCATTCCTTCTACCAAGTATTGGACTATTCCCGATGCATGTGGGTGACCCCTTATGCACGTGCCACGTGCAAAACGAAGAGATGTCACTTTTGTAATTGTTGCAATATCTCGGTAACTACTTGGCCGATTGCGCTGAAAGTTGGCATGTAGGTAGGCACCCACTAGGCAATGGCCCATGTGCCAGAGTTGGGGTGCTGCTGCACGTGTGCACGTGCAGGGGTCGATTCCAGATGTCGAGAACTGCTGGACCGATGGCACTCAAATTTGGTACATGGTTAGGGACCGGTTAGTAGGGTGCCGTGCAAAAGTCAGTTGGGACCCATTTTGCACGTGCGCACGTGCAGGGTGCCGCTTCCAGATCTCGAGAACGGCTGGGCCGATTGTGCTCAAATTTGGCACATCGCTAGAGACCGGTTAGTAGGGTGCCGTGCACAAGTCAGTTGGAGGTACCCCCTCGAAATTTTGCACGTGCAAGGGTGACCCTCTCGCTCGCTCCGTTAGTCGCCCCAAAAGGCGTTATACTGGTAGATAGTTTGAGTGGTGGGGGAATAAAGATGTAGTATAAAAGAGGGATGTTTAGTAAGCTTGATGAACGTTTGTGGCCAAGATTACTTTACGTTTGTGGCCTCTAATTTCGATGTTCTAACCACTTTGAGCCACCATTTACAAAGTGACAGTGTACGCTCAGCCTTTTCGTGGAACGGGTTAGCGCTATTTCCGCAGCTCTCCGCTGAAGCCACCAGTAAATGAATTGGTCATTGTAGCCGCTCCCATTGTCATTGTGGTGGCTCAAACAGTCCGAGGTGGTCGTGTCTAAATGGGTCATTGTGGGAGACCTCAGTCTTCAGACATTCACTTCAGAGACATTGTCTCCCACGGCACGAGTGGGTTTTGTTTGCGCTCGGGTTGGAGCGGGCTTGTTGGATTGTTTCAGTGGCAGGCAGTGCTGTTACGCAGGCGGGCGAGAGTGATGGTGGAAAGTGGATGAGAGTCTGTGTGGTATTGCAGGGAATGGGATGGCTTTGGTGACCTCTTAGGTCGCGTAGGGGACACGCAGTCTGATGCCTTTTCCTTTCTGTCGCGTTATGAAGCAGCTTGACCTGATAGTAACAGTTCTGGCGACCAGTTGACCTGTTCATCAGGAATCCCCTTTACATTTATCATGTGTTTTTCTTGTTATGACTGCCTTTGATAAGTCGCCCCGCATATTGAAAGGCTATCCTGGAATATGTTCAGCAGCATCCACATTTATATGATCGTAAATGTTTCTTACATATGGTGGGTGTATGTCCCAGGGTCTCAGCCATCATATTGACAAAGTCCGGTATCTCACAGCATTCATCGAAGCACTATCCTAACAAGCTCGGTCCACCCTGTAACCTCCCATATATATAACCTCTGACCCTTGCTCGTCTGTCTCGTCAGCCTGGGCCGGGCGCGCGGCGCCTCCCGCCTGCGCCGCTCGCTCTCGGACCCCAGTGTGGCGCCCTCTCCACCGCGGCAGCGCCGGCCGCCGCCGCCCGCCGCCGGCCACGCTACCGACGACGACGCCATCTCTGAGTCGGACGAGGAACTACTGTCGGACGATGAGAGCCGCCGCAGGCCGGTACGTGGGGACGATTCTTGGGGGGTTTGGGGTGGCGACGGAGGCTGCCAGATGGGAGGGGAGGTTGATGAAATTGCATGTTTTTTTGTTGTTATTTGAAATCGGACATTAAAACATTTTGGTCTTATTAAATCGAAGCCATTTGCCTGCGTGCTTGGAAAAGTTGTTCAACGTATTCAAAGCTAGGTATCTTTTCGCACCTAAGTGCACTATGTTGTTATGGTGCGCTCCTCGTCTTCTAAGCTGTGATAGTTGGTTTTCTAAAGTCTTCAAGGGTCTTTAGCGTTCTCACCCCTGTGACCCTAGTCGATGACCCGTCTCCCTCGGTCCCACAGCAGCACCTGGTGCGCACGTTCGAGCCGGCCGATGACTCTGTGGTGTACGCCGAGGCCCACTGGGACTACATCACCCTCGACCCCGAGGAGCTGGCCTTCAAGGCCGGCGACGTGATCGAGGTGCACGACTGCTCCGACCGGCACTGGTGGTTCGGCGCACACCAGCAGAACCAGGGCTGGTTCCTGGCCGCATTCGTGCGGGTGAGTGATGGAGAGGAGAGGGGTGGGGCGCTTGGTGGGACATGCATAGACGAGGAAGGAAGAGGTGTGATTGGTCATGAAAATGAACGTCGAGAGAGGTTGATGGTTTGGAGAAGAGAGTGCCTAGGTAGTATCAGTATATGTATAGATTGGCAGTTGGGGTTGTCAAGTTAGGCAAAGACAGAATGAATCAAACGAATATCGTAGAAGAGAGAAAATGATCAAGCATATCCTTTCCACTCCTCTCTGCCTCTCCCACAGTCCCGCCTCCACTGTGACCTAAGTTAATGACCTCGCCCCCCCCCCCTTCTTCCCTCCGGCAGCTACGAGTGAGTCAGGAGGAGACGGTTGAGGAGACACTGGACGCCATCCGGTCCGGCGCCGCCCGGCCGCAGCTCAGTCGCAAACAGTCTGTGTCGCTGCTGTCACACGATCAGGTGCGCGCCAAGGTGGTGATGGAAATCCTCAGCTCCGAGCGCGCCTTCGTGCAGGACGTCGGCAACGTCATAGAGGTGAGGAACGAGCGGGGGAGATGGGACTGCCCTAAAATCACAAATCAGCAGAGGGAGGGAGGAGAAGCGGGGAACTGTGATGGTCAAAATAAAAAAGCATTCAGGTGCATGCAAACTGTTTTTTTTTTTTAATGCAGCCTTGACCTAAGATTTTTATTATTCAGTAACACATCTCTGTGATATTACTGCAATACCTACCGCAAACTAGGTACTGCAATGTTATGTGTTTTTCTGATTCACTTGATTGTTTGTTTACTATTAATTTTGAATCAACTTCACAAATATGGCATACCATTGGGTTACCATCGCCATCTCTTCCCTGAATGGGCCTTCCCCTGACCCCCCGTCCCCTCGACAGGGCTACCTGCGCCAGGTGGTGCGCCGGCGGGACTTGTTCACCGACGAGCACGTCACCACCATATTTGGCAACATCGAGGAGCTGCACCGGTTCCAGACGGAGTTCCTGCGGCGACTGGAGAGTCGGGTTGACCGCGCCCGGCCACACGCCAGCTGCATCGGGGCCGCCTTCGTCGAGTTTGTGAGTGACGCGCGGGGATTCGGAGGGCGAGTAGGTGTTAATTATCTGTGGGGAGGATGGGTATCGGTTGTTTCATGCGACCAAAGTGGGAATTTTATTGCTATTTATTTCTTGTTCCGTCTTCTCAGTGACTTACTTTTTTTTGCTGCCACTTTACAAGAAGTAGGGTAAGGGCGGGTAAGAGTACGCGGGCGATAAGAGTACGCATCAGCTGTTTCGGTTGCTTAGCAACGCGGGTTTGTCGAGTTCATGAAGTGACATGAAGCCGCCAGTGCGTGCATGTCACCAACGGAACGTGGGCGTTGAGCGGCGACGCTGTTGAGTTTAAGGCGATGAATATTATTTTCGAGCGTTATGATATTATTATGATATGTTACAATAATTTTGATACTTGGCAGTTGAGATAAGGTACATTTCCGTGATTGTTGTGGGAAACTTGTGAGGTTATCTGGGGAAATACTGTACAGTGCAATATTCTGTTTGCGAAGTTTTGCACAACGTTTCGGGGTTGTTTTGTGCGCGAATTGCATGTACGGTAAGAGGACGCACTGTTCAGGAGGGTAAGAGTACGCAGAATTATACATTAAATCGAATATACAGAAATATAGAATTATTAATTTATCGCTCAATGACGTTTGTTTTGTAGGTATATCATCAATGGAGCACTGTGATGCAGATGCGTACCCGAAATTCTTCCAAATACGAGTTATTCTCCTTTTTGATTGTGCATTTTTTAAAGAAACACACGACATGATTATTTCCTGATTTATAGACTTGAAAGATTTATTTTATGTTTTTCTTTTTGGATACTAGAATTAACTTAAATGCCTTCTGAGTTTGAAGTTAAGCATTTGGACAGTGCAAGCTGCATAGGTTGTGTTCATATGCTTGCGTACTCCACCCGCCTGGCGTGCGTACTCTTACACACCCCATATGGTAAGAGTACGCAAGTGCAACGGTTCAGAAAATGTCGGTTTTAGACCACTTCCTTTTACGCTGAAGGATCGTTGCCCCATGGGTTGATGGCTAATTCAATGAACTTTAATATTCCCTATTTACGATTTCTTTCCTTCAAATATTAAACAAATGAGAGCAAGAAATCCACTAAGTGCGTACTCTTATACGACTTCACCCTATTGATATCCGATCATGCAACATAGTCTGCCCACTTTTCAAGACTGTTCTGCATCATGTTGTGAGACGGACAGGTCAGGGACGGTCGCACCATGTCTTAAACACCGCCCAGTAGTCAACTAACACCCCCCCCCCCCCCCGCAGCAACACGGTTTTTCGATATACGCCGACTACTGCAACAACCACCCGTCGGCGGTGTCGGAGCTGCAGCAGCTCTACCAGAACAACCGCTACATCCACTTCTTCGAGGCGTGCCGCCTGCTGCGCGACATGATCGACATTTCTCTGGACGGCTTCCTGCTGACGCCCATCCAGAAGATCTGCAAGTACCCGCTGCAGCTGGCCGAACTGCTCAAATATACTAAGGTGGGTGGTGGTTTGGGGATAGTCGAGGATGAACGCTCTAGATAACCGGGCGTTAGCACCGTATACCCATTTTACTTTAATACATATGTCTTCGAATATGTCACGATCTCGCAGTAGATTCTAGACTAGGATAACAGCCCGAAAGACATAACTTTTTTCGTCCGCTCCGTTTTTAAAACGTGTATTTTAATATCGGCAACATAACGCCTTTGTCCACTTACAAGCGAAGAGCACGTCGCACTTGTAAGACGTAGTCCGGTGCCACTGCACCCCCTCTGACCCCCCGTCCCCCCTATCCCACAGACGGATCACCCGGACTACGAGCACGTGCGGCAGGCGCAGGCCGTGATGAAGGCGGTGGCCATGGGCGTCAACGAGTCCAAACGACGCATGGAGAGCCTGGAGAAGCTGGCAGCCTGGCAGATGAAGGTCGAGGGATGGATGGTGAGGACACGGGGCGGGGAGGAGAGAGGGCTAGGAGGTGGCGGAGGGAGGAAGGAAGGGCGTTTCAAAGGAAGGGTGGCTGGAGGAGGGCATTTCAAGATGCATGAACACGTTGCACAATACTTTCTGTCAGAGCATTGGTGTGGTAGAAAATAGAAAGTATTTTCTTTTCTTTTTTTTGTCTCCATGGGGTCAAAACGTCGTTTCTGTAAGCCATTGCTATCAAATTTACAGTGTTTGACACGACTTTCCTCGTTTCAGGGTCCGAACCTGTTGGACACCAGCTCGGAGCTGATCCACCAGGGCGAGGTGACCAAGCTGACCTCGTCCAGCTGGTCCAAGGAGGTGTGCACGCTCTTCCTGTTCGACCACGTGCTCATCTACTGCCGCAAGGACCTGCTGAAACGGAGCGTGCAGCAGTTCCGCGGCAGGATCAACCTGGATACGGCGCACGTGGTCGACCTCACTGACGGAAAAGGTGCGTGTCGAAGGATCGCGGGCAGCACTTAGGGACGGAGATGCTCAGATGATCAATAAAGTCAGTTCGTTCTACTGGTGTTTGCACAACGAATTGGCTCTATGAAGAGCGCACAGAACAAGGCCTGGTTGTCCTGCTTCTCTGTATTTTTTCATTCAGTCTTCTAATTCTATTACTAACCGTGTTTTTTACTTTGCTGGCAATGCATTGTGATATGGAGTCACATGTGCCGGAGACTTAGAGCTCGCGACGACGTTAAATACCAAGCTCTGAATTGTTAACACGATGGTCTGCGCCCGGTTCTGACGCCCTCGTGTCCGCCTTGTCCACAGACGAGTTCTCCGGAGCGACGGTGAGGAACGCGATCCGTGTTCACTCGCAGCTGAAGAACAAGTGGTACGTCTTCTGCTGCAAGTCCGAGGACGAGAAACTGCGCTGGATGCTCAAATTCCGGTCAGTAGCTGTCGAGCGGACACTGTTTTGCTGGGTTGGCATTAGGTAGTATTGGGTAAAGATCTTTCGCTATGGTAATAATGGGTCCATTTGGTGATAGACAGGTGTTTGCCAGTTTTAGTGCTTTGTCGCTGCCCCCTGGACTCTTTTTTCTGACCACGAGAAAAAGATAATGATCATAATGGCAGCATTGTCACTTTGCTTCTGTAGCTCTGCGTTCCTCCTTCGCACTACTGTCGCAAGCCAAAAAAGCCAAATTTTAGATTTTTCTGACGTGTGTCTCGTGTCTCTGTCTCCAGGGAGGAGCGGATACGGGTGTGTCGGGACCACGAGAACGGCTTCCGGGTGTCTGATAAATTCCGCCGGCTGGCCCAAATTGCCGCCAGAAATCACCAGAACACGCCGAAAAAGCCCAAAAGTGAGTACAGTCAAAGTCGCTAGGCGGCGGGGTAGTAGGGTAGTCTGCAGTTTGAGTGAGGCAATGTATCTATGGATACATCCAATTTAGCTTCCTGCTGTGAATACCTGGCAGTGCGGGCGTTGCTTGGTCTGTGTGTTGGTGTGATTAATCATAAACCAGTTGTTCAACTGGGTGTTGTGCTGTATTGGATGAGATATTATATGTTTGCTGCTTGCGGAGATTTCCTCGCCCTCCTGAAACCTACGAGCAAAGCGATTGCTGCATAAGATTGGAGAAGAATGTCAGTATTTTCTGCAATGTTTGATATTATTACTTTTCCTCCCTCTCTGTGTACTTTGGTGCAACAAGAGGTGCACCTTTCTCTCCCGAAATATATAGTCTCCTGAGGTTTCAACCGTTCATGAGCTGTCCCTTTCGTTCCCTGATTTTCCTTGTTCCCCTGAACTTTGAGCAGTCATGAGTGTGTTTCCGAAAAAGGAGCCTCATCGGACCTGCCCTCCCACGGGACTCCCTAACTGTCCCACGGCGCTCCCTGCTGTCCCACGGGGCCGTCCCACGGCGCTCCCTAACCGTCCCCCACGGGGCCGTCGGCAGCCCAGCACCCCCGTTGCCGGCGTCCCATGACGCTCTCCCAGGCAGAGCTGGTGCTCAGTGACGCCAGCCCATCCCCGGCTCCCAGTCAGGAGATCGTCAAACGCAAAGGCAAGTGCTGCCACCTCCTGGCAGCAACTCACACTAACCACTAAATTCAACGCCTTCTCATCGCTAAAATAATGATCCGGCACCTAACCTTCCTTAGTGGTAGCCCCTTCGTAACCTAGCCACAGGCTTCTTGCTAACACGCTTCACAGGTGCTGCAGCTGGGCCGCGCTTTGCTCTGAGAGGTTTCTGTGCTTTCCTCGGGTTCCGGTTTTCATAAAAGCTTTATGAAAAGAATCTTGTAGCATGCGCTTAATAATCACACATTTTGCTAAAATAAGATTAGATGAATATCATTCGTATCTATAAGCATTAGTACTAAGCACTTACAAACTTACGTGCTGCTTCCTTGCAACAGTCAAGCATATCGACGGACGACGTCAAACGAGCTCACTCATGACAATAATAGACTAAAGGAGTCCCCTTTCCTCGAGTTAGGTGTGAATCGTCCCCTACAATACGATAGCATTTTTGAAGTTAATGATGCCATGAAAACTGCGTCGAAACGGTACATGTCCTCGCATCGGTGCTTCGCTGCCTGTGTGTACGAGGTGGAAGATGTCCCTGCCCCGTGCCCATGCCCCAGCGGCCTATCTTGGACCCAATGTCACTGCGTTGCGTCCCTTTCTTTTGAAAACCCATGTCTGCAGTCTGACATCTCTCGGCATGCACGAATAACGGCCTTTTTTCGTTTCAGGCACTTGGTTCAGCTTCGGCAACAGTAAGAAGCGCAGTCGGGCAGCGCCGCACATCATTCACCAGCACCAGCTGGTGTAGGTGACCCGTCTCCATGACAACGAGCAGCCACGCTCGTCGGCGCGGCCCGGCGCAGAAGCTGTGGTGCCTTCGGCGGCCGCCAGGTGTCACTGGCGCGCCGGACCGTGGATCAGCTCCATCCCTCAATCTGTGATCGCCACTGTGTATTTGAGATTGTCGTTGATCATGCAATATTTATGGACTCTGTATGATTGGTGGACTTTTGATAGTGACAAGCCGCATGTGCTAGAGTTTTTACATATTTGCATGTCGTAACATGTACTGCCCTAACCGACCGACCTTTGTCGTCTTTTATTGTTCTTTTTGCTCCGTCTGCTGTAAATAAACAACTCAGGGCGCGCTATAACGGTGGGTTTTTATGCGGCGCTGATAATGCGCTTTCGTCTGATGATTGGGGAGTGCGGTAGGCTGAGAACCCAACGCAGCGCCCGTAAGCGTCGACCCTTACAGCGTTGGTAATGGTAACGGTTGTTGCCAGCTGCAGGGGCTTGTAAAGAAACACTGCTATGTCGACATCCAGCTGCGAGGAATGGGATAATATGTGCCCGGCGAGTTACCGGACATTAGATGAATGTGTTAGAGGAGTGGCAGGCCGCAGCACTGTTATCCAATAGCTCCCACACGAGCTCAGCGTTTTCTAACGCCAACACCGCCCATGTTTTCATTTGATGTTCTCATAATTCTACTCTGCGTCCCATCAGCTACTGCATATATCTCGCTATATATTTCAGGATTACACGGGTGAATACCGCTCGCTTGGCGTTTCGTCACCTGAAATTGCCGGCAGAGTCACGCGCAGGCCTTGGTGCCGTTTAGAAGCCCCCCCCCCCCCCCCCCCAGTTGGTCAGTTGAGGTCGGTTGAGAGCGTCAGCTGTCCACTTGCTGAGAATGAGGGACGGGTATGACTAGTGATGATGCGTGACAAGCGGTGTGCACTGTGCAGAATGGTCAACTCCTGTCGAACGGAGTGCTCGTAGGGAGCAACATTTATGATGTCTAAAGTGATCACTGATCATGTTCTTTGACGGGCAGCCGCAACTCTCAACGAATGCATAAGTCATAACACGCATCTGGCCAACAGAAATTTGTCTCGAAGGGCAGACTTCGCATCGGTTTCATACCGACAAGCATCTCCTGTTTGCCCTATCCAACTTCCTTTCCAGTCTCGCACATCTTCGGTACCGAATCACCCCTCGTGAGCAGTGAAGTAAACCCATCCGTTCGTGACTTACTCTAATCCCTTCCATCTCTTCCTCTCTACGTCCTGCTCTCCTCCCGCCTCTCCCAGAGCCCGAAGTGTGAGCCAGTGGCCGTTCAAGTGGCTCTCAGCCCTGCCCGGCGCCGGACCGCCTTTTTCTCGAGCCTTCCCTCGGAGCACTCGTCTCGGTCGTAATAAGCCCTCGTCGAGCGGACGGTCGGCGAATCGCCACTCACGCGGTCGGCTGCAAAGAGCAGCTACTGTCTAGAGTTGCAAAATTTCCCCCAAAGGCTGCTACCGGCACCGCCCCGCCCCACAAAAATTTTCTGGGATACCGGCATGCTACCACGACCCGAGCAAAAACACCACCAGATAACCGGCATACTAAAAAAACCTGCAATGTTGATTCTAGCTTACCTCTACAAGAGATGCCACACTTTGGCAATTTCAGTACCCATCCCAGTTCCCACCCAGCAGCCACCCAATGTCCAACCCCAACTACGGGCAGGCTGATTTTGGCTCAGTTGGCCCCACAAATACCAACAATTTTGAAACTCAGTTCCAGTCTATAGCTGTTAAAATATCACCTGTAATCAAAGAGGTATTGCCTGCAAAAAAGCAGTAAGAAAAAGCATAAAAAAGCAATGACAAAAAGAACTTAAAGTACTGAATTGTTTCTGAAGACTGGACAGTTCAAGTTAGCAGTAATCACATTAACATTTCAGAGGTGTTCTACTATTCCACATTCTCCTAAAATTTTGCAGGAACTTACCAACCAAAATCAAATTTTTGAAATCTAGATGGTCACAACATAAAAAGTACCTACAGATTTGGCCATGTGCCTGGGGAAGCGAGATCAACACCTTTTTTTCCTTTTCGCCATGGCTTGCTGGCTCATGAATAAGATACGAATCATTTGAAAAATGTGAAAAACTCACTTGTCCTGAGAACAGTCACCAAATAATATGCATAAAAACGATATAATACCCGCTTTCTCGAAGAATCTTCCTCTCCAAACACAAAGTTATCAACTATGAAAGATTTCGAAACAGATGCGCCATAATAACAGAGGCTTTTAATCAGCTGATTAAATTGCTGCAAAAAAAAGTTTCTGAACTGTAGCAAACTGCCTCATAAATGATTTGTTGATGTAAATGATCCAAAACGATATTTAATTCTGATGTGATCAACATTGAGGGTTTAATTCACTACAAAAAAATTCATTTCCTTTCAGGAATCAAACCAAAAAGGCATACGAATGAATATTACGTCATCATGTTACATCCTTCCATCAGGGGAGAGAAGATCTAAAAAGTCAATCCTTGGTTCCCATTCTGCGCCACTTTGTTTATTTTGTATGCATAGTGTTTTCTTGTAAAGATGAGACAAAAATGCCAGTTTATTTGATTTTCATTTCATTTTTGGGACCAAAGTCAGGCTCAGGGCTACCTAATACCAGCCTTTTCAGCTGGATTTTCAGTGTCAAATACTTTGTAGAGTATCTCAGACCACATCTCAGGACTCAAGGCCAGTTTCCAAACAATGTGTTTTGTGGTGTTTTGATTCTGCCTTTTCCCCTAGGGAACGTTGTCATGAACATTTATTTACTTTGTTGTATTTTACCTATTACATACCATTAGACTTACTGATTGATCGAGCTTTTGCAGCATGAATGAGTATTCTTCCATTTATTGACCACAGTAGATTCTTGACAATCCTAATTATAACGAAACCTGTGAATCGCTGAGGTCCATGTGTTAGGTATGCCTACCCTTAGCAATGTAACTTCTACCACAAAATGTATTTTGCAGTGGCTAATATTGCTGTTATTATAATTTGATAGCCTCTTAGTGCTTAAAGTTTAAACCAACTGCTGATATTTTCTATTTTTGTGCAAAATCAAAAATACCGGCATGCTACCGGCAAGACATGCCAGATACCACGAAAAAACCTGCGGTAGTGAAAATTTACCGGCATGCCGGTAGTGCGGTAGGGAAACTTTGCAACTCTACTACTGTCCGACGGCGTGACGACTCGGCTAGAATGTGGCGGCCCAATAGCCGCGTTCGCAACGTGACTTAAGGCACGCAGCTTATTAAGCTACCTAGGTGGCTAACACCGGGTTCACACCTGGCAACACCTTACGATTGTCACCGTTGTCAGGTAAGCACACTGCTTCATAGCAGTTCTTAGCCGGTGTGACTTGGTCCTTATCTGGCATCCCACGATGCCACGTTAGCCACCTCCGCCGGAGGTAGCTTAGCAAGCTGCCTCGGTCTTCGGGAAAATTCAGATAGCTTACAGTTTTACTCACTCGGTACTTTTTTTATTTTGTTGGCACTTATTCCGCACTAAATCGATAGAAAATTGCCTTCAGGGCATAGCTCGATCAACTGCGCTGCGTTTGTCGAGGTTTGAGAAGTCGACGGCTTGTGTCGTATAATAAGGTTGAATGGTTTATATTTTATCAGTCATCGCGTTTATAGTTTGGATTTATTTCTATTATTGTTTTTACTTATGGTATCTATTATGTGATAGGCTTTTATAGTGTGTTTGAGTTGTATTTCGAACAGGAGGTTGGAGTATAGGTGGAGTATTTATAATGCAGTGACAGTGATGGTGCCATGAATCAGGAAACAAATGGATCAAAGTCAAATCGAAGCTACAGTTTGCCTTTTTACTGGAGTGTATGTGAGTTCTTGAGTTAGTAATTAGAATCTGGGAATTATTGGTTAATGTTCAGTAATGCAATACATTGCTGTAACGTTTTGTATACAAAATGATTAGAAGTACAAATTGAAAAAAGGTTTTTAGAGTGAGGAAAACCTGATGCATCAAAATTACATTCGTGTTGTGTTTGTGGACTGCTTTTCAAGCTGGTGTGTTGTGTCGTGTAATAAGGATTGTTCTTTTTTTATTTTTAAGTGCTTTTGTTTATCATTTTTATTTGCCTAAATTACCTATTATTGTTCTTTGTGGCAACAATTATCCAACCAGTAGAGGGAGAAAACTTGGGCTGCGCTGCAAGCTGGATGGCGAAGCTGCGTTGATAGGGAAATGTTCACAAGCACCTTTTTATGGGAACCTATCTACCAAGTTGGGGAGAAGGTGGTTTTAATCAATACGATTTCATCTTTTAAGTGTTTGGGTAAGAAGCATGCCAAATTCATTATATTTTAATTGCCCAAGCTTCTTTGGAATAAACAAACGATAAGACTTATTCTCTTTGCTTCAGTAACTCAGATCTGGATGTGAATTTTTTATACGATTTCATCAATACTTAACAAGTTATTTGCCTAAATGCCAAACAAAATTATTCCTTGTTCATTCTATTTAATCGAGCTGTGAAGCAGTAAATAAATCATGGTACAGGTATGAGGTACATGCCTTTATCTTTCAAAGCTGGTAAGTAATTGATGTGACGGAGCTCACTTAACTTGTTGATAAAATCAAAACCATGTTTAAAGTTTGCCCTCACTCATTTGCAATCCTGCTTCAAAGTCCCCATTTTTGTGTATAGCTAGGAAAAGTGTCACATGCTTTTCTAATGCAGTGTTAAAAGTTGCATACTATACCTATTACCTAGGCTTTATTTAGACTTCATCCATTTGATGCACACATGACTTCGTCTTCCATCTTCATTCTGGCAGTGTCTATCTAACTTGTTTTTGAAATTATTTGCTTATTTTGGCCAATATTGCTTCCTCTGGTAACAGTCAATAATTTTTATATAAATTTAGTCCGAATGCTTTGAATGGTTGGATTTCTCTCATCTAAAACTAGTGATGGAAGCTAAAATAATTTCTGTCAGCTAAAATTCACTGTACAGTGTACTGTCAGCTAAAAATTATTAAAGTAAAAGCCTCAGTCTCTTTTTGCCGCTTTCAAAGACATATCCTTGCTTATAGAATCTTGCTTTGTCACAAAGAACTGATATGGCTGAATATTTAGCTTTCTAGTTATCAACTTGTTAGTGTTGATCATATCCACCTGCCTTGTCAGTGATGCACATAGGTATCCAACTGTTTCATTCACCCGTCGTATTACATGTCCTGTGTTCAAAAGGTCCTGAAAAGCACAATTCCACCCTTAAAAGGCCGAATTTGACATAATGCTATGACACATTGGGTGTGCTGCTTAACTGT